AGGAAACGGGGAACATAGCGATTGGGTAGCTACATAGAGTGGCTTCTAATTATTAGCGCATGTTTGATGATCATATACGCGAAATAAACGGTACCTAGTCGTCGCATGCTGTCTATATAACCCAAAATACAGTCACGCAACACCCAAGAACATGTTCATTTATGCTGCTGGCTGGCTGATCGGTTAACATAATCGTGTGCCACCAATAGTTTACGTCGAGTTCTCCCCCTATGTTTTGGAAAAGTGGAAAGTAACACCGTGAGGGAGTTTATACAGTTGAATACGCTATTGATTTGAGCAGCACTTTTGCGCAATGAACTTCAGACCGCTCACTTTGCTCTGACCAGACGAATTTGATGGGCAGACGTCTCTCGTCCGAAAAGTAGCTTCGGCATAGATTTGCCTGCAGTGCCCACACTTGCTGAAAAATGTAACAGTGCTTGTTCTCTACAGAAACTACCTCGGCCGTGCACATGATGTCTGATGGGCGGTTCCGCCTGATCTCGTTCTGCAAAGTAATGAGCAATCTCTGAGGTTGTTAGGTCGCTGCTCATTGCACCAACTCAGTAGCCAAACTGCATATGGAGGGACTATGTCGTAAGAGTACAGCGACCACAGGTGTCATGCGACAGCCAGTCGATCCGCCTGCCTCTTATACCTTCGAAGGAACAACACAAATGAATAATCGTGAAACGTTGTGACGACCAACTTGTGCATTTGAGCTACCGCGGGCGACCGAGGTTCATATAGTTGACGCGAAGCTTGTGTCCTGACGACTACAGGGTATAGAATCACGAACTTTAGATTCAGCGCTGAAAGCATCATCAGAGGCCACGAGCAGAGTCACGATGCTGACTCCTGCAACCGTGCAAAACTTCATTTGACCGTCTTTTCGTTCAGAATATGCCGTCAGATCTGGTGAACATTCCAATGGACTTGAGCAAGCGCTACGATGGCATTAAGACAGTCTTTCAAGAAAACTTTAATATCGCTAATGTATGTTGTTCAATCAGCGGATATATGACTTATAACTCGTACTTAAACTATTGCTTTCAGCAGCCCGCCCCTCCACTGCCGTTACCTGCACTAGAAGGTATGTAATTGTTGAAAGTTTAGAATATTGAATATTTTGAAGATAAGGCATTCAATGTACCGCTATTTTCTGAGGGAAATGTCAAAGCGAGAACTGCTTTTACTATGTAAACAAATGCTGTGGACACTCACACTGAACCTCACAAGCCCAACGGCCAAATTTTGCAAAGCGCGATCAAAAAATCAAGGGTAATGTGTGCTAGATACGAGCTGTCTTACGAGCGTCGACAGAATCACAACACTGACGTGCACCTGATTCTTTGACGAGAAATTATTAGAAACCATGAATGTCGCCACCGCTTTTTACAAGGAGCTCTTCCGATGCTCTGAAGACCCCTTCCTTTGCTTGTGACAGGTCCGTTGAAACAGCCGGTCACTGCAGATGAACTCCGTAAAGATGTCGTAGTGTTGGTTAGGATACTGCATCCAACGCCGACGGAATCCTTTCCACTGTTACGAAATATCTGGTTCCCTTGTGTCCGGACGTATCGCTGCAGAACTAAATCAATTTTTCGAAATCAACCAGTTCTCAGAGAGTTTCGCGAAGCCTAAACCACAAGTGACTTTTTCAGTATTCGCAACTGCAGACCAATCTCCCTATTTTATCACGAACCGCACCGCGTAACACACACGGTGTGTCATGAATCGTCCCCATGCTGTGTCTAAACCATTTAACACGACTTTCCTTTCATGTCTTTATGTTGTCAAAAACGTTCTGTTTACGGAAGATACATACCTCATAAGCTACCGAAGACCGAGCAACTTTTTGACGAATTCGATGAAAAACGATGAAGTGATCCAGAGACGCGTGCAGTACGACAGTCCGCGATGTGTTGAAGCCTCGACGCATGCATGGCTCGTCGGGGAAGAAGGATCGGTGAGCTACATCCCACTGAGGGAGCTGGCTTCAGACGTGGCTTCTCCACTTATGTCCATATTTCTTCTGTCCATCTTTCAATGGAAAAGTGCCGAGAATGGAAGAAATAACATCATATGGTATTCTCTGATTACCAAAAAAGCATTCGCACCATCGTATCGTATCTACTGCCATCTGGAGGGCGTTGGCTGAATTCGCAGCAGACTCCTGCACGATTCGAATGATAGAGCAATTCTATGCCACTAAACGAACGTTTCTGGTTCTCACAAAGGAATGGTTCCAAGTTCCCATGACTTTGAATGAAAACCTTTGTGCATCGATAGAGTCTGGAATGCTGATTGCGATTATGCGGATTAGAAGGGCTGTGGGAGTCTCGAATGGAATCTGGGCTGTCGAAGTGGTGGTCAAAGTTTGAAGTGTTGGCGCAGAAACACTACTGAGCGATCGAGAAGCTGTGGGAGCGTGGCCTGGTGGTGGAACTCGCTTCAGAGCCGGGACTCCGCGGAGTTGTATCCCCTTGGTGCGGAAAGTGTTGCTCCGTCTCCTATAAATGCTTTTCCTTCCGTGTTTCAAAATTTCTCCAAGGTTGAGCAGAGCAAGTAGATCAAGTAGTTCAAGTGTATGCCTGACCAATTACGGATTTGGCCACTATGTACAGCTTGCAACCTGTATCCATCCGGCAAAGTTTGGACAAGAATCACAACTTGGCCAGAAACTTGTTCTGAGGAATTCTCGACCACCTGAGCACGAATATCACATTCGTTTGATGCGAAATCGAGTAGCTCCCCCATCATAGGTGCTGAACACAACAACGTGTAAAGTGCTTGAGCGTCCGTCTTTTTCTAGCTAAATTCAGTTTTCGAGCTAAATGAGCGTAGTATCTGCAGCCTGAAAGCTCTAACTACCCCTGGACAGAATTTCGGTGGATTCGGTGTTCTAAATTGGTTTGGCGCCAGTGAGTATCCAGCGTAGCGCGGGCTACACGCGCGAAAGCAAGTTTGTGGTCTGTGATTCTGGCTAAACTTTCAGAGCAAATGTTGTGTGTGGTTGAACGACGTCGTGACTCGGTAGAAATTCATCGAAGCGATTTGGCGCGGCGTGACAGAATTTTTTTCCATTTATCATTTCCGAGATGAAAGCGGCCACTGCTGTGGTGATCAATCGGGTGCGGATCACTCGCTCAATGCGGTTTGTACACCAAACGTCTGGATCTTAACATCACTTCGGAAAGATCTGGTACGGGAATTGAAAAACGTCCCAAAAAACTTTCCTGCCAAACCCTTGAATGCACTCGCTGAAATATTATGTTTTTGGAAGAAAAACCTACAGGTTCGTTGGAACTGTACGTGAATCAATTACTAGGGTGGGAACTCGTGTGGGGCGTACCCCACTTTTCTAATTGTAAAATGTTTTTTTTTGCATTTGGCTCTTGGAATCTTATCGCGTTGTTATACGCTTCTAATACTGTACGCTCATAATCCAGTTGCTCTTACAACTAGACACAGAGATCAGCGCGATCTATAGTTGAAACGACCAAGGGTTCAAGGACATTTCAAATTTTTGTTGGTCAAATTTATCTCACCATTAAGCCACGTCGCTCACAAGTATGTGCACCATTTTCAACGGTAACTTATGAGACTATGTGAGGTGGCAGTCAAAAAGGATTAATAAGGGCATGGATCCAACCTCCTATGGAATTTAGCATGAAAACTAGTAGACAGAGCCTTGAATGCTGGTTGCCAATTTGTAGATTGAAGGCGCGTGCTAGGGGGTCTCCTAAATCTGGATGGTCAACGTATGCTATCCATGCCATGTTGGCAGCATGTAAGCAGGGCTGATCGGCGAGTTGCCATTGCCACCGTGGCCTAATGATTATGGTATCCATTCATTCTGTAGGAGTCACCCATTGCCTAGTCCCTGCTTTTGACTCCAATAGTGGTCAACTCAACATGGCGTCGTGTTTCTTTTTGCAGTTCATTGTGATCCCAGCTACAGAGGTTATTCAGAGCCGTAACAGTATTGGCACCATAATTGGGACAACTACCCCTACAGACGAGTTTTCAACAAAGATACTTTTACACCCTTTGGAGTCCTGAAACCTGGCAGGTGCTCAATGAATTCCCCTTTCCAACTCATAGTTTCCTATCCTTACTTGGAAAGTTCTTTTTCTTAGCGTGCATTCAGGTAAACAACAATGTCGATAGAAACCAACACAATGTGAAACATCCTCACATACCCTAAAGAGTGCGCCTTACAATCGTCGAGTAAAAGGGGTCATTGCGTTTCTGTCAGGGGAAGCGACATTTCTTTCATTGTCGGAATGTTATTGTCAGGGTCCCAAAAGTCAAAAACCTTTTCGCTGAAGCTGCATATATGTGCGCACGTGAGGGTCTTGATTACAGTTCTGAAATTACGCTGAGAGCCAATGCCATTAGCCCCAATTACGGCTCTGTAAAGCCCCCACAGGCGAGTTTACAACAAGTTGCCGACAGAACTTTCTCCTGTCGTATTGGCGATGAGTGGCATCTAAGTCGAAGACGGATGTTTTATTAGAGATAAAGGTAGCGGACTTCTTAAAGATTAATGGTCAGAAGATTTTTCCTTGGACATTTTGAGAAAAACTACTTGTGTAGATCCACGCGCATTACCGGATGGAGAATATTCTCGAACGGCTCATACCTCTTGCAACGCCTAGGACGCCTAGGATAGCAAGGAAACAAATTTCCAGATGATGGATACAGCGTAAACCAAGGGGAGGTGTATCGCAAACCCCCATTCTCCGGTGCCGCCTCGCTAAATGCTAGACCATTGTAACTGATAGCACTTAAGTTGGTTCTATAGCAGCATAATGGCTAGCAACTATCCCAATGTAGCTCATCAGGCGATCTTCCAAGACGATAACGAAAAGCGAGCAATGCCAAGAAAAGTGATCAGTGCTAGTTTCTTCCCAGATAGTTTCGCAAAACCAAATATACTGATATCAAGTTTTGTAATATGTATCAGTAGCTTTTCAACGAACCGTGTAGGTGCAATGGTATCGCAGGCCTCGGGAGCGGACTGAAGCTCAACGCATCGAGAATCAAACCTTCACAGCATTTGCTCATAGAAAAATGCAAAATTTTTAATACTTCACTTCTCAGCACCTTCGAAGCCGAGTAAGAGGGGGAGAAAGCGAAGAAAACCAGAGAATGTGGAAGCCGTTCACTCTAACAAGAAACTGGCCGTAGGAGAACAGTCCATTTCGGAGGCTGTCGGTAAGTTTGCATTGCATACCAACTGCAGGCAACAGTGTGAGGACAGATTTCTTGATGTATTCCGTCGTGATCAGCATTTGAAGTAAAACAGTGTGGAGCTTGTAGGTAACCAAAGTGCTGTATGTAACCCAAATTCTGTCCGCGTAAGAGGAAGGCCAAGAAAGGTAAATAAGACGGCCTCAACAAGCAGCTGTGACATCGTTTCAAAAGGTACGCCATGTAAGGATAAGCACGCTTGTACCTTAGTATAAGTAGCACCAACTCCAGGTGACCGCCCTATTATCAAGACTCCTAGAAGACCTCGCGGCATTAAACCAGGTCAGGTTAAAATCAGTTTATTCAGTTAAATATGTATTTGCAAAAGTAGTGCTCCTTGATAATTAACCAAGAGTCTAAAATGCAAGTTCAGCAAGAATAAAAGCACATTGATGGAGGAAGTCGTCATGCTGACATTCGGATGTTTAGTGCTTCTCACCCAGTGCAGAACTCTGATTAGGCCTGTTTTCGCTGATAACAGCTAAAAATAGTGCTCTGACACTCACCCGCTGCCTTCATTATTAGGCTAATTGATATGTTGGTATTCAGATAATACAACGAGGTCAAGGTAAATCTGTACTTGGCTCTTTCTATAATGTCTCCCCTTACGAATCGCGAACCAACAGCAATGGCATTGGGAAAAGTATACATCTCAAAATAAAACGCGAAAAAGTGCAAATTTCTCGCTTCGATCAAATTTTGTGGGTAGTGGGTGTTCAGTTGTAGGCCAGTAGGCGATATACTTACATATAGAGAATGCAAAAAAAAATTGAAAACACCGTGGATGAGACCCGTCCTCGACAGTCACACAGCTTTATTGTGTAAGTTCTTCCGATTAGCTGGTCGATCGACCCCCTGCTGTCCCTGTGGGCCCCTGGTTCACACTTTATTTCTTTCGAAACGAAAAAAGAAACCATTGTGGTAAAACTCTTATCAGGAATTAGCTCGCGAAAGCTCAGTGTACGAGATCAGATTACGGTGAATATCTGCACGTTGAAGTTTTTTCATCTACGCATCGTTGGGTGTTGGTGAATAGTGCTCGCATCGTTGATGAATCCAAAGAAGGCCAATACGCTTCTTGCTTCACAAGGTGAACCGCAGCCGATCGCTCGTTTTCGGGAAAGGTAGCCATGGAAATTGGAACGACTCGTAAGCTTGAAACACTTCCATTCTCTGCGACGAAATCATGAAATCGTCCTACGACGCTGTACGCAACAGAATGCATACACGTAATTCACTGTGTAAGTCGGTGTCTTGTGGTCAGCAAAATTAGCGTGGAAAATAAAAGTCCTGCAACACTTTGAACAAAATTTCGGACCGAATTTCCCTTCACTAATCGACACCTCCGATCCACAAGGTAATCACCATTAGTAACTAGGACAAGTACCCACCCTTTGCACCGCTGCTCGATTCCACACTTGCAGAGCTACGGCAGATACGATGGAAACAAGAGGTGGAGCTCATTTTCGAGTAGATATTGATTCTCAAAGTTTTCACTTTTCAAACGATGCAGCAGCGACTGTGGTGGTAGTTGAAAGCTGCTACGTTCGGTGAATAGGTTAGATACGATTATCTCCACTGAATGGGACCCATAACCCATAATCTTTTGGCGTAGCCTCACCGCCACATGTAGTCTTCGCACTGCCGAGTGGAGAAACTGAGTGTTCCTGGATAAAATCAAGCGTGACGTCATCCATGTGTTGAAGTTGATCAGAGTAGACTGTGGTCGTCACTGCGTCAACATCCAGGGACATCGGTTCGAAGTTCTCCCAGTAACAGGACGAGGTGATTGAGAAAGAAGGTTTCTTTGATGCACATCTGCTTTTAAGCCGACTCTTCTCTTTGAGTGACCCTGTGATGGATATGTGCAGGATTTACGCTAGGAATCAGGTCTTGCTACCAATCACAGTGTCTCACGTGTCTTTTCGATGTGTACAAAGAAGGGAAAACTCAGTCACGAGCGTTCGACGCGCTTTGTCGAACTGGTGCAACTCATACGTCATCTATAGCAGAAAATTTTCTCCATAACCGAGATCGCGAAGAATAATGGTAGTTGTCACTTAGGTGCAGCCTAGAGATTTTGCCAGATTGCTGGTGGCTACGTTCGCTCGCTTCTCCTTGTGATTAAGAAAACGCGATCATCATGCTGTGATAGTGGCCCATGCGGGTTGCGTAATTCCTAATAAAATAACTCCAGCACGCGCTAACACCAGACACGATACCAAGCGACACGCTGACTAAGAAGAGCAGATGTGAGCTCCCTCAGCTACGACAAAATAGTGTAGATCAAAAAGTACCTCGACTGTGGGGAAACTGCTAAGCTTTGAAAGCCTCAGCAAAGCCATAATATGCCGTCCGGAAAAAACCTCAGCTCGCTCGTTCTTTTCAGTTTGGCGTCGTTGTAGGCGACCACCGTACTTCTTGTCACCGCCCGTTCTCCAATTTTAAGATTGCAGCTTGCTTCTGTCATGAGTGATGAATCGATCCTTGCACCACGAGCCATTAATAAATTTTTATTGAATATCGCTGCTCTCCCCACTTTCGGGTGAGAATAGCGCATAAGCATCCTGACGTTAACGATTGCTGTAGAGCCACTGGGTTGAAAGCTTGCTTCAATCTCTAGCAAGAGATACTTGCTTAAAGAAAAAAGGGAGGACGCGTGATTCAGTGTCCATTTGAGAACAAAGACTTCCTGCTCTACGCTTTTGAATACAGTGTTATCACATCTTTTTCGGAACTGCTCGTTCGTTGAACAGAGTTCCTACCTTGCACCGCATGTTATTACAGCGAGGGCTACTGGAATAGTGGCGCAGTGGACTTCATTCGTCACTTCCAGTATCGTCGCTTTTTCATCATTTAGTACAGTATTCAATAAAAGTATCTGAGCAGCTCTAAGGAATCCAGTCCTAAAAAGTTTCTGAAGCAGTTTCTCAAAATAATTCATGTGATTGCTTCGTGGTTGATAACTTATATAGCAGTTTTCTCATTACTTGAGATTGGAAATGCGCAACATGCAGTTTGACGAGGTAGAAATGAAGAAAAAGAAGAATGCTGGTATAAAAAACCAATGCTCATATGTATGTAGCACCTCTCACACTGAAGTTTTCTCATAAGGAAATTCCGAATGCAAGTTTTCAAATTGTTTGTGTGTTAATGTGAAAGCCAAAAACTTTTGTTTTTTTTTGACAAAAGAAGTCGACCTTTACTTTTGACGCAGAGACGCCTGCATCGGAAGTTCGCATTAAACATCTGATGTTGCATGCCAGCGAGATCAAGTACGACGTCACTGACAAACGAGGCGAAAGACGTCGCGCGCTGCACGCAAATCTGAGAATACGAATCTGAGAACAGCTGGTCCCAGAAACATGCGCTGCAGAGGGGGTATGCGACAAGAGAATTGTAATTCGTCGTGAAAGTGGGCGTCGCGTGCGACGTCGCGCTCGCCAGTGACGATTCTAGGTCATATTGGTCGAGAATAGATAAAGTTAGACCAAAAACATCCATAAATATTTACGATATTCTAGTCTACATAAAATCCAATGTTCCAGTCGGAAGGCTAATGCAAATTAAGAAGGCGTCGCGCCCGTCGCCGCGTGCGACGAAGCCGCAGATTACGATTCTCCTGTCCGTCTCCCCAGCAGAGGCGTGAGTGTCCTCGTCAATGCACACTTGAGAATGAACTTCGATTCATTCGAAAATGTGATGACCCAATTCGCACGTTTGCGGCTGAGAAGAGTGGTTCACCTTCGGCATTGTCAATCTTTGTAGCGTACGCGCCGACATCGAGCTGTGACAGCCCAAAGCGTTCCGAGCCTAACTGGAGAAGTTCTGCGAGGAAAACATTCCTTCTTCAAGGCAATCGTATGCGATTTCAACACTAGGGTCTAACCCAGAATAAGTGAAGAACTCATCGGAATTCACGGAACAGAGTGGAGTGAGCTGGGTGAACTCTCATCTGGGTTTACCACGTCAGTCCACGCCATTTTAGTGACTTGCTGACACCGAAAATTCCTCACTTCACGCTCGACATGGGGATCTCCTGATGGACATTTCCATAACAGGATCGACCACATCATCTTCGCTGTTATCCTAAGTTCTGCGCGGGATCGCACAACCATCTTTCTTTTGTCCTTGTACAAAGTAAGTTTCTACACGGGATTGTGCAACCTAAGATTCTGTTTTTCGATGCGAGAAGAGAGAGCCGCATAGGCAAGAAGCGAAGTTCTGAGGCTGTCATCAGTTGAGATTACCTCACTTCTCTTGCTGGAATTTGCGAGGATTCCGTGATCGACAACATCGACGAAGAATAAGAACGGCTCATTGGACAATTTCACAGCTGCAAGAAAAGATTTGGGATTTCCAAGTTACTGAGAAGCCCCTGCCTTTGGAAACTTCGGAGCCCATTCACGAACGTGTAGCGGCGCGAGTTGCATGCAGTTACAAGCTGACGTTATCATACCTTGCGAAGCTGTGCAGAGAAGCGAAAAAGGAAGACCTCAAGAAGGATTAGATTAATAGTACTTATGGAAGCACTAGAGGCTTTCAAGAATATGCGCAACGCCTGCCGCGACTTCGCCAACTGAAGGATCAAGATGACTGGCCTCCGACGTCCGTACGGAACAATCACCGCATCCAGAAGGGCAATGGAGAAAGTCTTCCACGATTTCTGCTCTGTTCTCTTTGATAGCCACGTGCCCTGCCACCACACCGTTTGGAGCAGGATGGATACGCCGTTCCTGCGACTCTCCCTTTCGAAGTGCGATGCGCCACCTCCTCGATGAAGAATGGCGGCACCTGGTCCCCTCTGAACATCTGAAGAATCATGCGTCAGTTCTTTTCAAAAATGCGGATCGACTCTTCACGCGCTACCTACTGTAACGCAAGGTACCACCTTGTCAAAAATAGCAGAACTATGTTGTAGTGCAATAAGGGAGGCCCGTATGAGACCGGCAATTATCACCCAATCAACCGTTGTCTGTAATCTAAAAAATATTCAAACAAGTCATCCTAAACAAGAAGCACTGCAACAAAGCACTACATGAAGGAGAACCATGAGAGCATTCGGTACGATCGACAATAGCCACACGCTACCGAAGCTCGTTGAAGCTCTGCGTGAGTACAAGATGCCGTTATGTCACACGCTCACCGGCTCGAACAAGACCTTCGATTCCGTCATGACAGAAGACAGAAGTGGTTGTGAAGCTGTGGGCAACCAGGGTGTTCTTACTAAGCCCATAAAGACCTCTCATGAGCACTACAGCAACTTCGCGACCAGGATCTCACCACTAACTAGAAAATCATCATCGACGTG